TATTCTTCACTGGTTTGTCTCCGCTTTTCAATGCTCAGAGGAACAAGCCTGGTTTTCTGGATAGTTTCATTATGTAATCACTGATTTCAGATATTACTTAACTTGAACCTCATATATCTGAACACATCAGCTTTGCAAACACCTTGCTTTTCCCAACTTTCCAATTAAAATTTGAACAGGAACTCTGGATTGCAAAAAGGCTTTCCAATCACATTTTAAGTTTTAGGGGTCAAAAAGGCATTACAGAGTATACTAAAATCAGAGTTAATTACAATATGTCCTTGTAATCAAGGTCCTACCCATTTTCATCTCTTGCATCTCTTAATGTCTCCAGTTTCACCTGAAAATGAACACAGGGCAAACAGCTTCAGTGAGTACAAGGTTGATAGCCAGTGTCTGTCGCACTGTTCAGATCCCTAAGTTAATTAGTCACAGCAATTCTACAGAATTGTGGTTGACAATGCACCACTCCATAGTCACTTCATATTAGATGACCACTGATGATTCCAGAACTATTTAAAATGTTAACATTTATGTTAACATTTATGTTAACATTTAAAATGTATGATTTAGCATCCTTTAAAGGCAAGATTGTCTTTTTTCACCATCTATTCTTTCTCCATCTGCATCCTGTGCAAAATTCTTTTGATATAAACACTGAGAAACCTGGTTGAGTGTAATCAATAAACATGCTCCTACAGAGATGTGTAATTTTTTTTCTCTTTTTTTTTTTTTTTTTTTTTTTTGCTCATAGGTTCTTCTAAAATGAATCACACTGATTCAAAAATTCAATCCAAAATACACATTAATAGGCTGGACAAAGAAGGTAGGTGGATAATGCTTTTGTTCAGTATTCAAATAACCAAGAACACTAGTTACAACCCGTGTTAATTAATGTATGCCAAGACTAAAGGTACAGTGCTTGCAGGCAAAGCCTAAACTGACCCTGAACCAGCTAACTGTGGCCTCATAGAAGGCAATTTATTCTACTCAAAGGGCCTCAGTACAGACAAATTTCATGTAGAGACCTATTCCTTACAATAAGTCATGGTAACAAAGGGAATCAGAATCAAGGATGAATGGATAGCCAAATGTGATCAAGGATTAAAAGTCGCATTTGTAGATGCTTTTAAACTGCCACTAAGACTAAAAGAAGGGGTGGGTCCTGCACAACAGGCTTGTTCTTCTTAGCTTCTGAATCAGTCTGCTACAGACTATATGCTGAAACTCACTGGACTGAGGAGTAGACTCTCCACCTGAATTACAGCGGGGATAAACAGAAACATTCAGCAAAGCTTGATCCTATTCTCCCTGTAGTCACCTGGAGTTGAGTCTTAAACAAAAACAGAAAAATAATAACAATAAAAAAAGTATGTTTAAAGACTAGATTGGTCTCAGCGTTTGGGAAAACAGCAATGAAGTTATCCAGAAAGTGTAATCCATGACATGATATTAGAATGTGTATGTGAGTAATGCATCTAATTCTCAGAAAGCACTAAGTGATATTTCTTCTGGGAAATTGATGCAATTCTTTGCCCAATAAACAAACTGCTGTTAAACCATTAGATGTCTCAAACAGCAAATTCTGCCATGGAAACTGCTTGAAAATAACTAATGGGTTTTAAAAAGGAAGGATTCTTTTTCCCCAAAAAGGCAAAACGACATTCAAAAAGCAAGCCTGAGTGATGAAAAAGATCCTCAGTCTTTTGAAAACTCTCGACACTACTGAAATCTCAACTTCTAGTTGCACTGATGTGCAAGGTACAAGTGAAATGACTAGTCAGCATAAAAAAGAGAAAAGCCTGAATGCATGTTGGGAATCAGTACTGAGGTTAGATTTATAATCCTGAAAGGTCACTGTACTTAGAATCTTCACTGAAACAACCTGGAGTTTCATGCAATATGCAAACATAATCAAACTGTGTTTGAAGGGCAAACGCCTGATAACAGCTGATCATAGAATCACAGAATGGCTTGGGTTGGAAGGGACCTAAAGGATCATCAAATTCCAACCCCACTGCCACAGACAGGGTAGCTAGCCACAATATCAAGTACTAGATCAGGTTGCCCAAGGCCCCATCCAACCTACCTTGAACACCCCCAGGGTCAGGGCATCTAGAACTTTTCTGGGCAACCTGTTCCAGTACCTCACCATTCTCTTGGTAAAAAACTTCCCCCGACATCTAATCTAAATTGCCATTCATTTAGTTTAAAACCATTCCTCCTTAGTCCTATCACTACCTATCTATGTAAAAAGTTGATTTCCCTGCAAATCCTGCAACTACAATATGCAGCATTACTCAATATTGTCAAGTTGATGCTAGTGGTGAAATAACATTTCAAAAGAAAGGGGCATAATCAAAATAAAACTATATCACATAATAGAAATAATCTATTTTGTAGCTTCTAGTGAAATAAAGTAAATGCTTAACAAACTATTTTATGTAAACCTGGATAAGACAAGTCCTGCAGCAAACTGAAATATCACAGGAAAGGTAAGTAGCCACCCATATGTAAATACCTAGGGTGAAGTTTAGTCATGACAAGACATTTATTTCAAAGACGAACATCCAGAACTTGACTAAAATACAATGCACTGTAACCCAAACACAGATTTAACTGTATCAGTGAGTGTGATACAGCCTCTTGCCACAAACTTCTGTTGCCATCAGAAACAGGGCTTCCACCACTTTAAAATGTGGCTCTGGCGCTGAAGTGAAAAGCTTCACTTACTGCAGTATTCCTGTTATGTGGCTGCATCTCAGTTCCTGTGAGTTAATTATCCCACGTCAAGCTTAGGACAGGTGATGTGCTACTCACGCAGCCAGTGAGCACATTCAGAGCTACTCTGGTTATTCTTCCATGTTCCATTGCACTGTGCTGTGGAGAAATAATACTCTGGCCCTTGCAGCACCAATTCATGAGGGAAGTCAAAGGGTGACAAAAGTCATGAGAGTAATAGATCACAATCATGATCTCATCTAACCTCCTGAATGCCTTGGCCATTCTATTTTTCTTTAGAAGTTAAATCAAAGCAAGCCTTTTCAAAAGACCTCTAATTTTTGTTAAGATTACAGGCAACAGTGAGTAATTGGTCCCTATGTTATCCTTATTGCTGCAGTGGTGTATCTTACTCAAGGCTGAATTTTGAAACTTCCAGCCAGGGGGCCACCTTATGTTGTAAGACAATAAATTTTAAGACTATAAATCCCTCCACCATTAAGCCTCATCCATATACATGGACCTATTCAGAGTGATTTAGTTCCTTCTTACCCTTTTCTTTGATAAGGTTTGACTGAGATCCTTAAGCCTTATGTCAAAGCTGATTTTCTACCTTGAAAGGCAAACACCAGATCTCAGACTTCAGTAAGTTGCTTTACCAACACAAGGTGCAGAGTGAAGGTCATTGTGCTGGTTCTGCATAGTATCTCTCTTCTGTATGTCCAAGGGTCACATTAGCGCTTCTGGCAACATCGCACCAAGAACTCAGTGTTGAGACTGTCACATAAGAATACCCCTCCCCAAAACTACCTGCAGTCTTGCAAGTATCCATTGCATTAGAATTGTAGAATCATAGAATCACAGAATCATAGAATCACCAAGGTTGGAAAAGACCCACAAGATCACCCAATCCAGCTATCCACCCATCACCAACAGTTCTAACTAAACCATGTCCATCAACACAGTCCAAATGTTCCTTGAACACTCTTCATCACTTGCATGCAGCAGCATTAAAAATACACTACTTTTGGGATGTAACTATTCAGAAAAATTATTCAGATAATTCTCACCACTATTTGGACAGTTTATTAGAGAATCACAGAATAATAGGCACTGAAAAGGACTTCAAGGATATCCAGTCCAACCCCTTGCTTAAAGCAGGGCTAACTTCACAGCAAAAGCAAGTTGCCAAGATCTTCACCCAGTCAGGTTGGAAAATACCAAAGGACAGAGATTCTTTGTTTCATGGACAACTTCTTTCAAGGTTTACCCACCTCCAATGTTATGTTTTAATATAATTCGTGCCATCTCAAAGCATGGCCACCAACACCTCTATATCCCCATTTTAGATCTTACAATAAAATACTGCACTGACAGAGTAAGTCTGCAGGCATCCTATGAGAAATAGTCTTGTTCATTGGCATCTGACCACTGACTACTTTTGAAGACCTGTCAGTAAGCCCATTTCTAGCTTGTATGCTCGAAGTTCTGTTAATTCAATCTCATTTCCTTGGTTCAGTAAACATCACATGACACTGAATTAAAATTTCCAGTGCAGACCAAGGAATCAGCAAGCAGGCTGGGAGGCAGACCAGTGCCTTCCGTCTAAAAACATCCACATTCACTAAGGTGGGACTGGCCAGCACTACTCTTGCTGACCTTTGCTGTTAGTCCACTACTTCTCCTGGGAACTGACGCTGGAAAGCAAGAGCCACAGCTCCCTGCTTCATTCCAACCCCCTTCTCAAGTTAGGGAATTCTGCAGGACAACTTCTAAAATCTTCCCTGTACAGCTGCTTTAAGTACCCCTGGGCTAGTTATTTGACAGCCTTGAGCATTAACTGTGCAGCTATGCTGATTAGGAAATGTTTAATTTCAGCAAATGCTGCTTTTCATCTTCCTTGAGTGCACATAATACTCCCATTCAAGTCTCTCATCTGAGTGCCAATTAGCCCCTATGGCAGAGCACATGAAATCTGACCAGGGATAGATAAAAAAGGATTAAGTTGGAATAAGCTTATTGCTTTCCACAGGTACCCCGTTCAAGCACAAACACTGAATTAGCTAAACACGTATATTTCTAAAAGGCGACATATTTGGCATTAACGATACACAGGTATTAATAGAAAAGTTACTGTTATAGCTGCATTTTGCTTCAAGAAGTCTGTTCACAACATGGCAGTTTAAAAGAGCAAGCCTGGAGGTTACGACGTTCCCTATGAAAAACAACTAATTAACTGTTGCTTTTAATATTGTTTAAACATAATTTTATACACGTACCAGACTTTTTTTAAGTGTCAGAACAGTTTGAGTGTTGTCACATTAGGCTGTTATGGCTTCAAACACGAACTTCTTCCCCACTGAGGATGGTGAATCCTGTGTGCAGCAATGTGACTGCGTAAGAGGCACTGTTGCACTTTATGTCGATCCAGCTGCTCTGCAAGTACATAAAGTCTACATAGTAAAAATCCTCACATTAATTTTGATTTTAAAAACTGACTGTTTGCCAGGAACTGCTTTCTTGACTCCAGTGTTTTAGCCAAACAAAACGTTTTCTTGTCAAGAAATCTGAATGAGCTACTGTTCATTGTTTACTCATCAGAGAAACTTGTGCTGATTTGAGTTGAGCAAAAGAAGTGGGTGGATATTTATTATTTAAATTTCTCTAATTTTAATACTGCCATATGTATTTTTAATCTCTTGAAAGTTTTAGTGACATTTCCACAGCTTCCCTAATTACCTCTACTACCACTTAAATACCCTGGCAATTACAGCTGTTACCAATGCACAGTCTGTTCGTGCTGCATTTTCACACCCTCTGCGTTTTGTCAGCTCTCCACTGAACGAGAGGAACAGTGCTATGTCCCCTCTGGATTAAAGTTTTCCCAGTTTTGGCGTTTGTTGGGCAAGTGCAACAATGCAGGTACCGCACAGGACAGCAGTCAAAGGGGACTCAGTTGTGACTCAATGTCACTTCTCTGCGTACTTGCACACAGTGGAAGGCAGCACAACTGCACCTCCGTTTCCGGAGAGGCAGCAGAACGGCGCCCCCTGGGCTCCGGGCTAAGGACGGGGATGCACGGCAAGCACAACCAGCCGGCTGCTGGCCGGCCTTGCACAGCTCCAGCGCTAAGTTCAGCTTGAAGCCCGAGCGCTTCCTGTCCTGAATGGACTGAGCACATCCACCCGCACGAGGTGACCACGACGCACCCACGATCGAGCTTTCCCTTTCTGCCTTTCAGCCTCGAGCTGCGGACATATCGCGCAGTATCCCGAGGACGGCCCGGAGCACGTGGCAGCCCAGACGAGGCTCAGGGCTGAAGACGGGGCTGACAACTGTGGGTCCGTCCGAAGGGCGGTGCGGGGGGAGACACGTCGGTGCAACGCAGCCCTGCTAAGGACTCCGCCGTCGCCTCTCCCGGCGGCTCCCGCAGGCGGCGCTGCGGCGCTCCCCGCCCTCGCGCTCTCCCTCCGCTGCGGCACCCCCGGGCGGCGGGGCCACAGACGGACCGCCCCTCGCCCGCCGCCCCCGGCCCCAGAAAGCCGTCACCGACGCCGCCCGTCCCTCAGGGCTGTGGGCCCCGAGACTCCGCTCCGAGGCGAGCGCGGCGGCCTCCCGCCGCGCCCGGACCCGCACCGCAGCGATGCCGGCAGCACGCGCAGGGCCCCGCCGGGCCGCCCTGCGCACGCTGCACCGCGGCGTCCCGTCCGCGTTGAGCCGCCCTCCGCTGGGCGCCCTCTCCGCCCCGCTCGCCTCCTCCTCCTCCTTTTCCTCCTCCTCCTCCCACGGAGCCACCCTCCTCCTCCGCCCCCTCTCCCTGCCAGCCTCCTCCCCGCCCTTCCCCTCGCTCCACGCCGGTGCCGGAGCCGCGCGTCACTCGGGCTCCAGCCCCGCCGCAGACATGGCGACGCTGACCGCGGTCCAGCCGCTCACGCTGGACAGAGGTAAGCGCGGCGGCTGCCGCCCCCGGCCCGGCCCGAGCGAGCATCGCGGGGCTCCGTGCGAGGCGGGCGGCGGGCGCTGCCGCGACGGCCCGCCCGTCCCCGCGGCGTAAGGGCTGGAGGCGGCGGGTGGGCGGGCAGGCGGTGTCTCCCCGCGAGGCTCCGGAGCGAGGAGACGGGAGGAAAGTTTGTCCGCCGGCGGGGAGCGGCCGCGCGGCCGGGGGGCGCGTGCAGGGCTGCACGGCGAGGGCTGGGGCTCCGCGCAGGTGCCCCGCGGCCGTGCGCCCGGTTTCCCCCGCCTCGCTGCTGCGGGAGAGCCGCGGCCGGGGCGCGGCGCACATCCGCACCTGTCCGGCGGCGGCCGTGCGCTTGGGGCGGGCGGAGCGGGCGCCCGGGGAAGGGGTGCGTGTGTCACCGGAACGCGGCTTTTGGGGTCGGTGCGGAGGTGCTGTGGCTGCGCGCTGACGGTAATGGTGTTACTCTGTGTGATGTTACTCTGCCAGGGTGCTGTGCGTGTCTGTAGGCGGCTGCTCGGTCCGCGGAGAGAGAGCAGTTGATGTTTTGCTAGCCTTGAGTTTGTGTCAGCAGCCTGACTGAGGTAGTGAAAAGCGGTGCTGAAATCACGAACTTTTGTTTAAATTCAGTTTTTGCCTCTGGGCTGTGAAAATTGGACGACTCCCTCGCGATGCATTTGTGCCGCTTGCAAGGCTGAGCAGAAATGCTGTTCAGTTTCTGTGGTCACAAAGGAGAAGAACTTAACCTGATGTCTGATTTGTTTTGCTTCTGTGGTTCTGTGAGTTAAAGAGGTCACACAGCTCCTAAAACAGTTTCTTGAGTTGCAGGTGCATCGCTCTTCTTAACTTCCATCAAGGAGCCCTGAGTGGCTCTGAACATGTATAAGTCTTGTACTCTTGAAAGCAGAATTTAGGCCAGTGCTGCTTATTTCTTTAACGTGTTCTTTCTAGAGGATTAAGACAGGCTTTCAGATCAAGACAGGGAGCATCTTCCTGTAAATCCTATGCAAAAGAAGCCTGATGAACCCAGTTTCAAGGTGAGAAAAGATGGTGCAGGAACCTTTACTGGAACCTGACTGAGAACAAACCAGTTCTGCAGAGTTTCACAGAGTCACAGAAGGTTCTGAGTTGGAAAGGATCAGCAGGGATCATTGAGCCCAAATCCTGGCTGCATACAGAACCACCCAAAATCAAACCCTATGTCTGAGAGCATTGTCCGAACACTCCTTGAACTCAGTCAGCTCTGTGCAATGACCACTGCCCTGGGGAGACTGTTCCTGTCCCTGACCACCCTCTGGTGAAGAACCTTTTCCTATTGACACTAAGTAGAGTTTGCTGGATGGTTTTAATTTCAACATTTGAAGAAAAGGTGAATCTAAAATTATTCTTACTGAAATAACAAAGTGCTGGCATGCGCTTGAAATTAAACTGTTCAGAAATCCACTGTGTAATCTACAGTTTCACCCTAATACTGTTTTCAGTAAGCAGGACAAATCTATTTCCTGGCAAAGAGCTGAACAGATGGCAATCCATTAGCAAACCTGGCTTTTCTAAGGAAAGTATTACTATTTCAGAATTACACGTTTCTTTTCATCACTAACAGTGCTTTAAAATATCCACGATACACAAAAATGCAAATTAGTCCCAATTTAAATGTAAACATCTGTTGTCAGTGTCCAGAATATGCCTAAATATTTGGCAGAGGTGCTTGCGTTGTGGACTCCCTGGTTGTCAGCCAGGGCTGACAGTAGTGTGAGGAGACGTAACATCACGGAGCAGTAGGATGTGATGTGCAGAAGGGAACTATGGGCAAGAAGAAATAGGTTTAAATACTGCACCTGGCCTGCAGACGGCCATCTCGTCAGCAAGATACACTTTGTCACCCATAGCAAGTTGTTATTATGTCAGCTGGAGAGGGTGGGCTGACACTCCAGGAGCAACCCAAGCCTGGTGCTTCCAGGTACTTCCTCTGTAGTCTTTCACAGCCAAGGAAGCAGGAAAGTGCTATGCAGGGTGGTTTTCCACATTTTGGTTGTTCTACTGAAGCAGACACAGCTATGTTTACTGTCACTTACACTTTGCACAGCTCTGCTGTGATGTAGGCCCAGCCCAGGCAAGAGTTGTAGCCTTGTATCCACTAGGCTGTGCCCCACAGAGTGCTATGTGCAGCAAGAAAATAGCATTGCACGAGAGGCAGCACTCACTGCCATGCATTGTGTAGGGAATTTGCTTTATCTCTGGCTAAGAAATGTTTGCTGTTCTCCCCCACTGAGGCATCCAGAAATAGTAAAACTTCGTATAGATGCATACATCAGAAATCTGAGTTAGGCCACGACGTCTGCTCTCAGACAAAACCTGCATTCTGTGTTCAGTGCAGGGATGGGAGCATTCCTAGCGCCTGACACAAGTGGAATTCAGAATCGTGTGGTAAAATGAATTACCATTTAAAGGTGAAGGGCATGTTGTGTGTGAATGATTGAAAGCCAATTACATTCTGGAAGATTACTTCAGTCCAAAGCACAGGAATTAATTTCCTTAATTCCTGTCATCATGTGCCTTTCTACCTGCACAAATGTGTGCAAGTTCCATTAGGGCTTTTTAATATGTAGAACAAGTTCACAAAATAATGGAAATTTTAATCACTTACAATTTAATCTCCAAGGCTTTTGCCTGACCTTTGTGTGGTGCTCTGTTGGGAGGAGGGGAAGGAATCAGCAAGTGCTTCAGTGCAGAGATGTGAAGCACTGGAGCTGAGGGGGTACGGCTCTGGGCTGAGCTTCATGTGCCTGTGAGCTTTGTGAGGGGCAGAGCCTGTCCTCCGAGTGTCTTCAAGCAACTCTGTCAGTCTTTTACAGAAAGAAGTGCACCTTCTTGTCTCTTGCATGTATCTTGCATGCTGAATGGGTGGCACTCTGTCGGTAATCCCCAGAGCCCACCAGGCCTCACTGTGGGAAGGTTTTAGGCCAATTCAGAGGTGATGCCAGAAACTTTGAAAGCTGTGCTTGTTCCACGTTGAGGTGAAAAGTTACAGTGCTGCGTTATGTAAACTGACAAAGTAAGGTTGGATTTTGTTTTTCATTTTATGTCCAAGATTATGGATTTTTTAAGTATGCTCCTGGTTTAATTTGCCTCTTCGGACATCAGATCAAAATGGAATGTTTAAAAATGCCCATGCTGTGTTGTTTGTTTTTTTTTTTCACCTTTGCGTGCCACTTTTATTGGCACACCTTGTGCTTTGTTCTCAGCACTCGATCAGCAGCACTGCCTCTACCTGTCCTCACAGTGCCTTCAGCGTGCCACAGCCCGGTGGTGACCAGCAGTGGCCACTTTCCCCATCATCAGACAAAGCTCGCATCTCCCTCGTGGCCGTATTCTGTTGCCTTTCTCTCCCCAAAGCCCTGTGCAGATACAGGAAGCTCCTGATGGGTGTGAGGCACTCAATGAGTGCCTTAGCACAGTCTAATGGAAGCTTTTTCTGCAAATAACACTGTGCTCCAAGGTATATGATGGAAGGGAGCACCTTTCTGCTCTTCCCTTGGTGCTCGTTTTAGGAATGGTCGTATGGAGGCACACAGTTTGAAGCAGGCATCTTGCTAGCTAGGCATAATGTGTGTTCCACTCTGAACTTCCTCTGTCTTACTAGTTCGGCAGTTTTCATCAAGCTTGTTTTACATAACATTTTACTTGTGCTCTTTCTTCTGAGATGAAAATCTGCTCTGACAGAAAATTGACCATTTATTTACTCAGATTGCTGCAAAACTTCAGTTATTCTTCCTTGCTCCCGACCGTGAAAATGGCAGCTTTAAAAGAGCACTTTTCAGAACTTCTTGCTTTTGATGATTCTATACAATTAGGCTGTACAAAGACCATTGCATGATTAAGTGCATGGAAATATTTCTCATTTGAAGGAGAGCTTTCAACTGTCTTTTATTAATAATCCATGTCCTCTTACGTTTTTCTTTATATAGTTACTATTCATGCATGGCACTGGTAGTTTCAATTCTTCATGTGATTGAGGATAAAAGAAGAAATTTGAATAGACTGAATATACTGTGCTGATATTTTAATCCCTGTGAAGTTTCACGACAAGGTCATAGCTATTGGCTGTTGACAACCAAATTTCTCCTCACTTTCAATTATATCCTAGGCAACTGGAAATACTTCTTGCTCTTGAGCTGTGGCACACAGCTAATCTCTGTTGGTTTTTTAAGAATTCAAAGAAGTTTTTTTTTTTTTTTTAGTGGAGGGATGTCCCATAACTTCCTGAAAATCCTTAATGAAGCATCGTGTTCAGTGACAGTAAATATGTAATTGAATCAATTCATAATTTGATTTGATGGCTATCAGCCACCAGCTGATAGCAGAGGTAGATGTACTCTATGAAATACGACCAGATGACATTTGACCATTTGCATGCTAGAGGGCATACATGGGGTTTTTTCCCATCAATGCTTATACATTTCTGTACAACAGAACTGAATACTGAGTATAAGTTGCTAGATACTGTCTGTGGAAAAAAATGTATAACGTACTCGTCAGTAAGATGAAGTCAGAGTCATAAAGTGTGAAATATACTCCTTGACAGAGGTACAGCATAAGGCCAGCTATCTTTTACAGTGCGGTTAAGCCCTTCAAAACAGTGCTAAGCGGTTATGCTGCTCCCTGCATGGCTTTCAACAAAGCGTTTCCATCTGTCAGAGAGATTTCTTGTACTGCTCTCCAACCTGGCGTGTTAAAGGAGAAAAATACTTCTGCAAGTGCTGTGTGCTTTAAGTCTAACGTTCCTCTATTTGGTGTGCCAGCTGATGACATATAAATAATCAAATTCATTCTTCTGAGGCTACAAAAAGGCCTGTTGTTTGTAGAAACAGAGAGAATTGACCATTCTGGATTCAGTCTGAAATGTGATTTTTTTTGTTTTCCATCAGTATGCCAACATGTATTTGATTTTTTTTTCCATGTATTTTTCTGAAGGAATGGATTAAGGTA